GCTCTGCTCTCAAGAACTTTCTTTGAATGCGAAGGGTCAAAAGCCAAGATAGACTTCAATGACCCCGAACCTGAGAGAACATTTCACAGGAGGTTGAGGGAAGCAAGGGACACAAATAATTTTCAGCCACTTGTTCAATTTCCTGAGGGCATGGCAGAGGAGCTAACGTATGGCTGTTCAAGAGGTGGCGATGCCCAGCATTACTAATGTCACCTCCAGCATTGTTAAGTGATACATGCCAGATGAGCATGTCTAATGATTTTCAAGTCAACATCATAGCATTTGAGTGTTTTAAAGGAGTCAAGATCAAGAAGGCTATACTTATAATAATTGACTACACTTAGCTCCTTAGAATTAGTTTAGGGGTATTTGGGTCATTTGTAGCCAAATACCCATTCTAGTATAAATAGCCCTTAAGCCTTTTATTTTAGCTAGACTTGATGAATGATAAACTTGAAGGCATGCAAGTCTCACCCTTTATCCTTATCGTTTAATTAATGCGTTTATGTTTATGCCTTTAATTTACTTGTTGCTTTCATTAGTGCTAAATTAGTCTTAGTTGGTGAGCAATTAGTAGTGAATGCTTACTTGCTTAATTACTTTATTCGGGTTTTCAAGAGTTGCCAATCTCTCGAGGGTTTTCATAGCGTAGGGTTACAATTGATTGAGTTCCTAGGGGTAATTAGGCTTCATATCCTAATTGGTTCTTGTTCTTCCAATCAATTGTAGGTCTAGCTCTTATTTTCATAGCTTAGGGTTACGATTGATTGAGGTCATAGAGGTAATTAGGTTTCATATCCTAATTGGTTCTTGTTCTTCCAATCAGTTGTAGGTCTAGCTCTTATTTTTTATTCCGCGTATTTTGCTATATTCGTATTTTTTTGTTCGTAATCCGTATTATTGGTATCAGAGTCAGAGGTTTTGGATTGCCCTATCAATCCTTGGGTCTTTGTTTTGATTATCATTAGAATCAGAAAATAAAAAAAAATAAAAAAACGAAAATTTCCCAAAATAGTAAGTTTACTGTTCATCCGTATTCAAAATAGAAATCCTATCTGTTTTGTTTCTTCATTATCCGATTTCTAAGTTTCTGGGTAACGAATCTCATTAAAAAATTTGTGTTGCTGCTAATTTGAATCGCATTGAGGTCTTAAAGGAGGGTTTTGATAACCATTTTTGAATCTGGACTGAGTTTGAGGGATTCCAAGTCATAAATTTGAAACCCGTCTTTGCCGAGTTCCTCGAAGAAGCTGGTCGTTGGAAATCTGAAAATTAGGGTTCGAAGTTGGTTAGGTATTCGAGATTCTAGTTGGAAACACTGATACTAGGTGAAATCTGAAGATTTGAGGTCGAATTGAACTGATTGCTAGGGTTTTGGTTCGAAAATTAGAAATAATGTCTGATCATACTGTTATTGTTTAAGGTTGTATGAGCTGCTGATTTAGGGATCGATTTGAAGCTCATTTTGCAGAAAAATGTCAATCCTATCCTTCAGTTCTTACACTGTTTTGAGTGTCCAAGCTTATTCCTTGTTGATAGCTGTTGTGAAATTGATTGAAGTTAGCTGATTTGAGTTTGAATCACTAGAGACTGATTGAAAACCAGTTTTGAAGTATTGAAATCAAATCCTGTTGCTGGAAAACTGATTGGTTTAGTTGTTGAAGTTTGCAACTATTTTTGGGACAATTATGGAGTAAATTGATAGCTGAAATTGTCCTAGTTTGAACTTGTTGCCACTGGTTTCTAATTGTTGTTGTTGTTGTCATTGAGTTTAATAGAGGGGATCAGTTGGACTAGAGATTGAGCAGCTTGAATTAGTGAGTTTGGATTGGAAAAGGCGTTACTGAATTTCTTGTTATACTTGTGATCATCTGAGAGTTCTGGAAAATTAAAAATGCTGCTAATATCTGAGAAAGTTCTAAACAATCTTTGAAGTTCTTTTTGTGAGTTTGAAGCTGGTTTAGTGATCTCTGTGAGCAGTCAACCGTGATTCTTTGAATTAAATTATTGAGCTGCAGTTTGGCCTAGTTCTAGCTGCAGTTTCTGCTTGGTTGTCAGGGACTGGAAACCTGCTGGTGTGGCTGTTGTTGTGATTGTTCTCCAATTATCTGCAGTTTTGGAGCAGTCTCTATCAGAGGTTCCAACAATCTGCAGAGCCTTGTTTGAGCTGCAGAACTGCACCACTTCTGTCAAAATTTAGGGTATTGTGAACTGTAGACTGCACCAGTTAAAAGGTCCAGGCGGCCAGTTGCTTATAAGGTTCTTAGGTCTGAAATCGTCAGCTGAAACTTGTTATCCTGATCTCTGTTGAGCTGGTTTTTTTCTGCACTGGTTAAGAGCATTCTGCACAGTGTTTTAGATGGGATTTTCTGCACTCATTGCTTGCGGTACTTATGCACCAGCAGAGATCTGAAATTTCTGCATCTGTGAGCTAAAAAAACCTGCAGTAGTTTAGTGAAGTTGTGACTGTAATTCCTGCACAGTTGAAGCTGAATTTCCAAGGTTTGAGAATCAGAAGGTTTTGCACCAATTTTGTTCCAGTTTGTCACCAAGTTTTTGGCATAGTATCAATCCCAGAAGATTGCAACAAGTCGAGAAGATCAGAAGTTCAGGAGTGTCTGCCCAGTCTTCTATCCAAATTTTCTGCCCAGTTCTCTTCTTCTTTCCAGTTGTTAATCTTTTCTTTTTGTTTTTTAATTCTAAACTAGTGTAAACTTGATATTAGTTCATATTAAGTTTAATTCTAGTTCTGTGTGCTTAATTTTATTTCGTGCCAATTGTTTCGTGCTTTTATCTTTTACTTTCGTTGTGAATTGCTTGGTTCAAGTCCGTTTGCTTTAATTGTCCGTCTTGTGAATACACAACTTCCACTGCACCCCGAAGACGGTTTAAACTTGTTTTGAAACTTTGGGACTTAAGTTTGCTAGCAATTTTGACATTCACTACTTGAGCGGCAAAAGGCAAGAGTGAATAGGATTTTGAGCACGCAAAAGCCAATTGGTACAAGGTGTGATACACGAGGGTTGAGTGACATTAAGTGAGTTGGTGAGGACTTTTACTACTGACTTGTGAACTTATCCCCCTCGCTCGGTCTCCCTTGCACTAAGCTCTTCACCAAGTCTTCCAGTAAACCGACGACTTATTTTCTTTATTGAATGATTGGCTCAATAGCTTTCTTCCTTCAATTAGAAAAGGGGTTTGCTCATTTTGTAAGTATCATGGAGTACGGACAAACTTCTAGTCTTAATTGTGATCCAAGGAGTGAGACTTCGATGCATGAAGTTGTCTCTATTCTTTATGACATAAGTGAGAAGGTTACCAATTTTACCATACGGCAACACAAAACGAATTCAAGGTTGAATTCCATATTGGGGAATCTCACTTGAGGCAACAAGGAAGGGAGAGTAGTATGACACTTACTAATCCCTCTACTACACCCTCTCATTCACAAGTACGACAAATGCTTCAAAGAGGAAAATCGGAACATATCCAAATGCCGGATGAGCATGTCTAATGATTTTCAAGTCAACATCATAGCATTGGAGTGTTTTAAAGGAGTCAAGATCAAGAAGGCTATACTTATAATAATTGACTACACTTAGCTCCTTAGAATTAGCTTAGGGGTATTTGGGTCATTTGTAGCCAAATACTCATTATAGTATAAATAGCCCTTAAGGCTTTTATTTTAGCTAGATTTGATGAATGATAAACTTGAAGACGTGCAAGTCTCACCATTTATCCTTATCTTTTAATTAATGCATTTATGTTTATGCCTTTAGTTTATTTGTTGCTTTCATTAGTGCTAACTTAGTCTTAGTTTGTGAGCAATTAGTAGTGAATGCTTAATTGCTCAATTACTTTATCTGGATTTTCAAGAGTTTCCAATCTCTCGAGGGTTTTCATAGCGTAGGGTTACAATTGATTGAGTTCCTAGGGGTAATTAGGCTTCATAACCTAATTGGTTCTTTTTCTTCCAATCAATTGTAAGTCTAGCTCTTATTTTTGATTCCACGTATTTTGCTATATTCTTTTGTTCGTAATTCGTATCATGAAGCCCAGAATCACTGGGCACTTTGAGCTGAAATAGAGCATGATCCAGTTATTACATGCGAATGGGCAGTTTATGGGTCTTCCACACGAGGATCCACAACAGCAGATCTTGAACTTCTTGGAGATTAGTGATACTTATATCACTAAAAGAGTCACTCCAGACTATGTGAGGCTCACATTGCTCCCATTATCTCTATTGGGCGAAGCAAAACGATGGTTGAAGGCGGAACGAGCTAATTCTATTACATCATAGAATGATCTGGCGAGGAAATTTTGGCATGGTTCTTTCCTTCAGGCAAAACTCAAAGATAAGAAGTGAGATCACTACAAAAAAAATAGCATTTAACGACGGACAAAATCCGTCGCTAAAGAGCCTTTTTCCGTCGCTATCAGGATTAGCGACGGATTACCATTTGTTGCTGATCTGCTCGTTGCTAAGCTCTTAGCGACGGAAAAATGGGATCCGTCGCAATATTAGCGACGTTCTAGCGACGAACACTATCCGTTGCTGCAATTAGCGACAGAATTTCCGTCGCTATATTAGAAAATTTTGTCGCTAACTTCACAATGCATTTCGTCGTTGGTATACTTTTGTGACAGAAATTCGGTCGCAAATCTGTCGCCAATATTTTGAGACTAATTTCAGCTTTGCATTTGGCAACCAAAATCGTATGTTGCAATCCGTCGCAATATTTTTCCCTTTTAAATCCTTTTTATTTAGCATTTTAAATTTTCTCTGCTCATGCACTTTGCATGTATATTATTAGATATCCTTTATAATAACTAAAATTCATATAAATTAACATACTTCAAGGTCCAAAATGCATATAGCTAATATAATTAAGTTCGAATTATCCCTAACACCAACAATAAAGTTCAAACCAAAAAGGTGCGAATTATCCTTAACACCAACAATAAAGTTCAAACCAAAAAACTTCCAAATACGAGGCTTAGAGGTTAAGGTCATCATCTGAAACAGATGGATGAACCCCATGAACAGTAGCAGTAGTAGGAACATGAACTGTTGGTACCACATCTAATGGGTGGTCAGTAGAAGTCAGTGAGGGTGATGACGAAATCATTTCACGCACCCGCTCAGTCAATACTGGAAGCATATGATCAGTTATCACAGGAACTATGTGCTCTGTTAGTGCAGGAATCAAATGCCTCACTAACTCATCCAGGTTCGATGCTGATTGAGCACCCGAAGGTGGTATTGATGATGAAGCATCTGATCCGGAAGAGCCACGAAGATTCGGTCCATAGTAGCATTTTGCTTGAGATCCAAGACCATATACTCTTCTCTTCTTTTCCCCTCCCGCGGCTTCGTAATATGCTTTACATTGATCAATATCAGATTGAGTTTGTGTTTGTTCCTGTAATATTTTCTGATACCTTTCCTGTAAAAGAGGTGTAATAAGTGCTGAATTAAAATAGTCAAGAATGTTGAGCATTTAATTAACCAACAGAGAGGATGCTTTTCATATTCCTTTTATATTATAGTAAATAAGATTATAAAATATTGAACTTACATGCACAAGTCGAGCTTTCTCATCAAGAAAAGATTTTCCATCATGCCCATGTGTATGGATGTACAAATGTAATTCACTTGGTGTTGGGTCTCGACCCTTTTCAACAGCCTATACCAAAAATAATTTATTTTTAAAAGGATGAAAATATTACTATAGCAAAGGTTCTAACTTTTAATCTTTCTGAACTTGTAACTAACAGAGATTCAATTGATAATGATTGAAATCCCATTTGGAATTGATATTTGGGACATGTTAGATATAATGAGCCCTTCTCCTATTTAACAAGCAAATGGAGGTCACAACAACAAGCTGAAAAATGCAGCAGGAACTGTGGACATATGCCAGTTTGGACAGGAATTTCAGACTCAATTAATGCAAACTGGATCACAATTTTAATGCACACAAGCATGTAGTACTATCATGTACTCTTATCAAGCTTAAGATCACTCCGACATAATCAATTGCAGGTGCTAGCAAACAGTGAGAAAACAGCAGCACATGAATACAAGGGCTCAGAATAAGTAAACATTCTGATTCGACTATATGATTTTCCTTTAGGTTGTAAACATTCTGCTCTATTCGGGCCCAATCTAATTCCATACTACATTGGTCTTTTAAGACAAATTTTGAGATTATCTAGAAGTAGATGTTTTATAATCGAATATTTATCTATTCACTAACATACAAGTCTTTAACCAGACTGAAAAAGCTTTCATGAAAACCCCAACCTAATCTAGATGAAACAACACTATGCCTTAGTCATCTACGGAAGCCCCACGGCGGAGTATTTGAAACACTCAAATCCCATTTCTATTTTTACCATAGACATTAAAGAACAATCAGTCAACTGCCCCTCAACTAGTCGGAATTTACTAGACACATTCTCTATAATTCTTCAAGTTTATTATTCAATGGTTAGAGGTTTTATCATTATTAGACTACTTTTATGTTGGCCATTTACCTAAGACAACTCCCTCCCTCCGTCCCTCCTCCCTCCGGACAGGTTATGCTTTGCAAATCTTACACAGGCAGCATTCCAGATACTAAATGAGGCATAAAATCCCTCCACTTGTGCATGACCATTTAAATTATAAAATCACAAGGGTAGTTGGTGATAGCTGCAGCGAAAGAGCACCAAAATACACTAGTCAAACCAAAATAGCCCTGTTAGCGGGTTCATACTTATGAAGGTCATTAGTTGTGATCATGTACTTAATCATACATACTTAATGGGAGTCTACATACAGACCAACATTCCATTCCTCACTAAGTGAGAAAGTTAACAATCCACTTCTACATTCTTAAGAAAACAGGGGCAGGCAAATACATTGGCAAGTGATCTCCAAAGAGATCTTCGTTCACATCTAGATTGGTTAAGAGTTATATATATATAGTGATATATTCAAACAAGATAGATAAACATTTAAAGGGCTTCTTCTAAGTCTATAGGTAAACTTCAGTAAACTTAGTAGATTTTAATGTCCTGAAAACACAATCATAAACATAATATACAAACAGTAGTTTCCTTTAAGGCAGGGATGAGTACAGAACTCCTAATAGGTGACATTCAAATGTGTACATGTTGTATTCTAACTAATACTACCAAATTACAACAGGACTGAGTACTAAACATGGAATTAGGCTACATGGGCATCATAGTTGGTCCTGAATAGTGAAGATTTACACTACGCAAGCATGATCCAATTATAAGTTAAGTACATTAGTTTTCATAATGAGGTTTTGCAACACATGGTTCTATCAGATGGTATTCAACTATAGCAGATACAATTTCAGTTAGGTTTGTAGACATGATTTAAACCAAGTAGATAGTAGAAGACAGAATTGAAGTGCATAGGTTCCTTAGAGCTTAATCCAGTAACTTTAAGGCATTCTCTCATATAGGAATTTTATTACTTGTTCAATTAAGTAATATTTTCATTCATAAAGTTTTGTTGCGATATACTTAAAAGTCTCTTGCGATACTCTCCAGTGGAGACAGAGCCGCCTGTGTGAGTCCCAATGGAGACTCCACTCCTACCGCCACGACGATTCTTTGCATTTATTTCTGACTTTTCAACACACTTGGGATCTTTCCAAAGTTGTTCCCAACTTTCCCACACTTCTTCTTGAACACCTCTTGGCCTAACTGTTTTAGATTTCATTTTTGAAATGAAATCTTTGTACCTTATTGATGCCTTAATCTCCCATTGGCTCCTCACTGCACTATCCATGGAAGAGTCCCAATAGAATTTCTTCTGAAATAATTTTATTAAGTAATAACATTAATATCTTATTTATAACAGTTAATACACTTCCTAAATTCATTATATAATGAAAAGTTATACCTTGAATTCTCCCCAATAAAAGTTTTCGGAAAAGGGTCAAATATATCCTTGTACTATTCGAAATAGTTTAAATATACCCTTCGTTTGAGTAACTGGTCAACTATATCCTTACCGTTATACTTTTGCACTAATTTGCCCCTAATTTTGACGGATAGACACATGGCAACCTAAAAATCAAATAACCCACCCCCAATTTTAAAATATCCAATTCACTTTACAAACCCCACCCCTTAACTTGAACTATACCCGACCCATTCCCCTCTAAATTCTCTTTATTTTTCTTTTCATTTTCTTTCCTTTTTTCTTTATATCCTTCTCTGTCTTCTACACTCCAAATCAATGTTTTCAATCGATGTTAAAACCCAACTACTTTCAGTCACAAATTAATTAATCTCCCAAACTAGTTCCTTCCACCAGTTCAAATATCAGGAGCTATAGTGATAGAGCTCGAAACTTTAAGCCCCAAAATTTCTTTTCTCAATTATCAAATCTAGCTGCTTTCAATTTTATCAGTACAGTAACCAAATTGTAGCTCAAGCAGACAATTCCATTTTCAAACCCAAATAATTTTTCAAGTTCAAGTGTAATTTCCATAATGCCAATCACGTCTTCAAATTTTGGATCCAAACTCCCAGAATCAACAGCCCAAGGGATTCAATAATGAAGCAATTAAAATTTCTCTATGCGCTACATTTAAGTTGCTGCATACATAAAACCCCAAACTTGAGCTCTCAATCACCCATGGACATGAAAGACAAATTGGACTTGAAATAGGCTCTAAAGACGCTACTGTTTCCATGAAGCCTACAAACTTTACCCCAAATGTACTGTAAATGTTTGCCATTCGCTTCTCGAGGTGACATTATACTTCTTTCTTAGTGTTCACTTCCCAGATCTTAATCAACGAAGTGTTTGGATACTGGTGTGATTTCGACCTTTTGTATCCAAGAAAAGTTCGCCTGACGTATGGTCTGATTAGTTCTCCTTGGCATCCTTTCACCATCTTCGATTCAACTGTTTTGGGGCTGTAACTATTTTCGAAAATGTCTGCAAAGAAGAAACCAAATGAAGGGGAATGGGTCGGGTATGGGTCAAGTTAACGAGGGGATTGTAAAGGGATCCAGGTATTTAAAATCGGGGTGGGTTATTTCTTTTTCAGGTTGTCACGTGTCCTTCCGTCTAAATTAGGGGCAAATCAGTGCAATAGTATAACGGTAAGGATATAATTGACCAGATACTCAAATGGAGGATGTATTTAAACTATTTCAAATAGTATAGGGATATATTTGACCCTTTTCCGAAAAGTTTTTTATCTCGTCAGAGACACTTTTCCAATTGATTCCATTGGGATCAAGTTCATGCTTGAAAGATTTAAATATTTTCGACGAGCATAATCCACTAGGTTCTAACCTGAAAAAATTTGAAGACAATAGTTGAAGGGGTATCATAAATCAAAATTTCTATATAAAAAATAATAGTAAAAACATGGACTAACCCTGTAGGAGCAAGAGTAGTCCGCTGCCCGCGACTACTGGTGCACTCACCTTCGCCAATTGTGTTGCTTTGAGTAGATATGCCCTCACCTATTGGGTTACTCTGATCAGGTGTATTAGGAGATGATTCAGAATGGATAGTTGGGGTATTACCATGACCTGATGTTTGAACGGGTGTGGTACTGCTAGAAGCTAAAGTTTGTACTTGGTTTATGTGATTTCGCCCACCTAAAAAACTCGTACCACCTTGTTGAGGACTAATTATGGGAATGGGAATAGAAGGCATATTTGCAGGAATAGCAGAATTACCCCTACCCCTAACTGAGGACTTGCCTCCACGAGCTATGCTATCTCTGCCTCTCCCTCGAGTCATACCTACAAAAAAAATTACATGTAAGCAAATTATATTCATAAATTGGTATAAGCCAAGAATTAAGTCCCTGCAAACAGAAAACACTGGTATAAGTCAAGAATTGGGCCAAAATTACTGCTAGATTTTTCAATTTTATAGTAAGCGATAAATTTAGGGAAATGAGCGAGAAGTTAGACATCAAAGAAAAGCAATAAATATAGATATATTCTTGCAGATAGCATTCAGCTTAGATTACAACAAACAGAACACATAGCATTCAGCTTTGATTACAACAAACAAAAAACAGTAAGATACATCAACGACAATGTTCATATCTATCACATGATCTTCAACTTCTTCAACTTGGAAGGGGAGATTCGCATCTGAAATTACCATCACTTCCTCATCGGGTAATTCAACAACATGCCGAGGTTTAACTTTCAATACAGCTAACCAATCCTCCTTGTCCTTTCTCTTGCTAGGATAAGGAACATAACACACTTGAGTTGCTTGCATTGCAAGAATAAAAGGTTCATATTTTTTATATTGACGACGATGGTTAACATCCACCAATTTGTATTGATTATGCTTTTTAACACCAACATTCATCGTTGGGTCAAACCATTCACACTTGAATAATACAGTATTCTTTAAAAGGTTCTTCACGGTATTCTACTTGTATAATCTCTTGTATCCGACCATAGTAGTCACCAACATTTGGATCCGATATACAAACTCCACTGTTCATTGTTGATCTTGCGCTACCATGACTTTCTGCGTGAAATTTATATCCATTAACAAAATACACTGAATGACATATTGCGCTTGTCAATGGTTCATGAGCAAGGCTACGCAAGAATGCATTCTCAATATGGTTGCTTCGGACCTATTTAAAAAATTGTGAGACTTAGTTAAATTTAACAAGTCAATTTATGTACATTATTGTATAAAAGTAAATTATTGTTGGAGGCTTATATATTGCTTGAACCATATAGAGAAATATGTTTCGAGATTCTCATCTATTTGATCCTGAGATAAATTCGGATATTCTTCTTGTAAACGTTCCACGTACATACTTCATTGCAACAAAATAAGTTAAAATTAGTGCTTCTGATATATGAATATTTGTTATATTAAGAAAGTATAACTTTCAAATGTTACCTTATAAATGGCTCAACCTCTTTACAATTTAGTAGAATGTAAGTTTGGGCAGCCTTGATTTCTTCCAAGGCTAAACTCCTCTTTTTTGCTTCTCCCGATAGTCGACCCGGATGTGTAAATATTGATAAATTTCCTTTATGATCTTCCACAACACCACTATCATCATTCCGGTCCACATTATGATCACGTGTAATGACATGAGGTTCAAAATAATGAGAAAATAATTGTGTTGACTCTGTCATCAAGTATGCTTCACAAATAGATCCCTCAACACTAGCTTTATTTCCATTCATTTTTTCAAAGTTCCAAGGTACCTAAATAGATAAATGAATGGACCATTAAATTAAAAAGTCATGTGTAGCATACTTGTCACTTTTATGACATAGAAGTTTTAAATTTACCTCTCAAAAGGATACATCCATCGATATTGTACAGGTCCATCAATTCTTGCTTCATATGGCAGGTGCACGGGCAAATGTTCCATTGAGTTAAAGAACCCCGGTGGAAATATACGTTCAAACTTACACAAGATCTGTGGGATGTCTATTTCTAATCTCTCCATGTCAGCCACTCGTAGAGTGGTTGAAGTAAGATCTTTAAAAAATAAGCTCAATTCAGTAAGTGCTTGCCACACATTGCTAGGAAGTAGTTCACGAAAGGCAATAGGCATTAATCGTTGCATGAGCACGTGGCAATCATGACTTTTCATGCCAAATAACCTAGACTTGTTCATCTCTAGACAACGACCCAAATTTGAAACATACCCATCTGGAAACTTCAAACTTTTTACCCAATCTAATAAGATATCCCTTGCTTCATTATCTATTGTATATGCAGCTTTGGGATATTTTCCACTAGCATCCTTTGCCAACTGAGGTCTATCGCAATAGGTTAGCATATCCAGACGTGCTTTCGAATTGTCTTTGGTTTTGTCTTTAACATTAAGGACTGTGTTAAATGCATTATCAAAGACATTCTTTTCAATATGCATGACGTCAAGATTATGCCGAATCATGTTAGAACTCCAATAAGGCAAATCCCAAAAGATGCTTCGCTTTTCCCATCCACAAGATTTACATATTCTCGAATTAACTACTTGTGCATCTTGATCTGTTACTTTCCTTAGCCCTAACTCACTAATTTGGTTCAAAATTTCCTCTCCCGTTCTAAGTGCTGGTGGTAGCCTTTTAACAGTATGACCTTTAAGAAAGTTTTTACGATCTTTCCTAAATGGATGATGTTGGTCAAGGAACATTCTATGTCTATCAAACCAAGTTGTTTTCCCACCATGACGTAATCTAAAAGATTGTGCGTCCTCCATACAATAAGGACATGCTAACTTTCCAGCAGTACTCCATCCTGATAACATAGAATATGCTGGAAAGTCACTGATTGTCCACATCAACGCCGCCCTTAATTGAAAGTTTTGCCTTTTTGAGATGTCAAATGCTTCCACACCTTCTTCCCATAAAAAGGTCAATTCTTTTATTAGAGGTTGTAGAAAAACATCAATTTTTTGTTTAGGATTGGTTGGCCCCGGAACAATGACAGTTAAGAACATGTACGAGGCTTTCATACACATCCAAGGAGGTAAGTTGTATGGAGTGACAATCACCGACCACGAAGAGTATGTTCTTCCTAATTGACCTAATGGTTGGAAACCATCAGTACATAACCCCAACCTCACATTCCTTGGTTCAGCAGCAAAAAATGGATGAGTTTCATTGAAGTGCTTCCAAGCCTCAGAGTCTGATGGATGACGCATTACCCCCTCCTCTTGCATATGCTCATGATGCCATCTCATGTCACCGGCTGTAGCATGAGATGCATATAATCTTCGCAATCTAGGAATCAAAGGAAAATAATACATCCTTTTATAAGGGACTAATTTCCTCTACGAGAACCAACGCGACGTTTAAACCTCTCGTAGCCACAAAACTTGCAAGATGTGAGGTCTTCATCGTCACCCCAATACAACATACATCCTGAATTACAACAATCAATTTTTTCAACCGGCAAACCCAAGCTACGCACTAGCTTCTTGGTTTGATAATAACTTTCAAGCATTATGTTATCTTCAGGTAAAGACTCTTTCATCAATTGCATCATTTGGTCATATCCCCTCTGTGATAAACTGTTCTCCATTTTAATGTTTAACATCCTAGAAACTACTACGAGTTGAGAGAGGGAAGAACCAGGATACAATTCTGTATCAGCGGCCTTTAGCAAATCGTAAAACCTTTGAGACTCAGGATTAGGCTCCTCCTCCATTGAAGGATTAGCCTCATCCTCCATTGAAGGCTCAAAATGATGAGATGACTCAAATTCAGTATTACTATAAGATTGCCAACTAGAACCCTAGCCAAAGTTGGGTCCAGCTGCATCTAAAACCATTTGTCGGTATGGATTGTCATATCCAAATGCAGGTTGAACACCACCATGTAGATCACTGCTAGAAGACATCACATCAGTCACATCTTTTTCCCCTTGATACTTCCAAACAAAATAGTTTTCAACAAATCCAAACTTAAAAGGTGCAATCTAACTGTTTCAATATCCATGTATATAATGTTGCAACATTTTTTACACAGACATCGAACATTCTCACCACTCATGCGATTTCGCTGAGAACGTGCAAACAAGAGAAAGTTATCCACGCCAGTTACAAAATTAGAATTTATACCTCCTCGGCCATCCAACCTCTCGTACATCCAAGCACGCTCTAAATGATCCATATTCCTATTTAATATAGAAATAAAACAGGATAATCAAATTTCTGCTGGATTAAAACTAAAAGAAGTCAAAAGATGAAATTATGAGCCATATTATCAAGAAATAATGACCTGTTACCCAAATGAGTAGCATCATAATGCTCTGTTACTTCAATTGTTCACAAACAATAAGTGACTAAGGTAGTAAATTAAGCACAAAAAAATTGTAAGCTTCGGTGTAAAAGTTGGCAACATTTGTGGTTTAAACTTTAACTTTGACGCAAGAATCATCACTAGCATTAAAGTGTGTTATCGGTCAGTAGAAAGAGGAAAACGATAAAAGTATCCCCATAAAGATAAGATTCCCATAAACTTATGGCGGATTTCCTCCTTTACGAAACCCCTTTCTTCAAATTTTTAACGTGCAGATCTCAAGTTGCAAATGGCATCCATATACTAGAGAGAAGACCACTGTGGGTAGCAAATTGATATTAGAAATATGCAGAACAAAGCAAGCTAAATCTGTTGATCACTTGGGACATCCAAGTGTGACACAAAAAGTATGCCTCAATCTCAAGCAAAGCCAAATTGGGATCCGACTATATGAATCTTCATAATATTCATGTCGCTTCATTTAAATCTATCTCAATTCAATATTATATCAACTAAATATATCAACAAAAAAATAATTTCTCTAACAGTAGAAGTTCTCTTAAATCTCTGACAAAACCAAAAAATTCTTAGCAAATATCACTTGTACCTAATATAAACAGAAAAAAAATGAAATAACTTGGTGAATTTAAGTTGCCTCTCATCACATTACTTGCAATTTCCACTAGAGGCTCCACTCAAACACTGCATAGTTTACTTGCCTTTGCTACTAGAGTCAGAGAACAAAAATTTCTAGCTTACATACAGAGTGGAGGAAGAGAATAAATGAAAATCTAGTAGCAGAATATAGAAACAGCTATTGAGCTATCTAAAATATTAACATTAGCCATAATATATGAATTTAATTTGCAGTCAAAGCTGCTAAGACCTTTGAATATCCTATATATGAAGAAAAAAAAAGTTAATTTATCAAAAAACAGTAACAGATCATCCAGCCAACATACCTAAAACCCAAGATCCATCAAAGAGCAAAAGCCC